AGATACTGTGCTTCTTGATGCACAAGACAAGGAGTGGCATTTTTGTAATTATGGTGAACAGTATTCCGGGCCACACAAGTCACTCTATAAATAGATGTTTCTTTTCCTTTTGAAGCTAACGAATGAATGAAGATTTTTTTCGAGCTCTCTTGCAAGTTTGCTGTATAGTGTGATTCCTTGGGATTCCCCCCCCCTCTCTCTCTCTCTCTCTCTCTCTCTCTTGCTCTCTTCCTCTCTCTTTCTGTTTTGTGATAGTTTGTTCCAGCCCTACTGCATCACACCTCTACCCCTTGTAACAATTTAATGGCTTTCCTCTTCTCATATATGTAGCACCACCATCCATCCTCCTCTTTTTGGAGCCAACTAATCACAAGCTTCGAATCACCTTCAATTAACAACTTTCTGATATTCAGCTCTTTAGCCTTTTGAATCCCTTTCATAACACCCATAATTTCAGCCCTTAATGAGTCCCCAACTCCAACTGGATCTGAGTAGAGTGCAATGATATTTCCCTCCTCATTCCTGAAAACTCCTATGCCAAATGGTGCCTTCATTGCTACCAATAAAGTTGAGCTTAACAAAACCTCTAGAAGGTGGGGACTAAAGAGGCCTGACCATTCCTTACAGGGTGCAGAAACGGCTACCTCTTTAGTCCCCACCTTCTAGAGGGGGTGCAGAAACGGCTACCTCTCTCCACTTTCTCATCACCTCAATACCAGGAATATCCTTAAAGAGATCCAATTACTTAACCCAGTGAACCATCTTGATGGTAATAGCTTCGATGACAGCTTCTCTGCTTCTTTCTTTTTCAAGGAAAGAAGAGATTGAAGTAGTTAAGAATGATTTAAGGGCTCATACCTTAACAACGGATATGGCACTGAATAGAGCAGACTGGTGGAACAGGATTCATGTAGCTAACCCCATATAGTTAGGACAAGGCCTCATKGAGTTGAGTTGGGCATCTTACTCATTTAATAAATGAGAAGGAATACGATTGGTAAAATCTTGGGTTTGTTTTTCCTTTTTTTTTTTTTTCTGGGTCGGTGAGAAGTTATCTAGGAGGGCCTTTGAGAGTTTGAGAGAAAAAAAGGGAAGACTAAGCCCTGTGCTAGGCATTTCAAGGCCGTTTGTTCTTTGTCCGGGTTTGTTTGTTAAGTCTTTGGTTTGTAAGTTGTGTGGTTACTTATTCGGTCTTGTTAAAGGTTTTGATGTCTGTTTGTTGGATCCATTGGTTGTGTTCCTCTTTCGGGTGATATCTTATCACCTTCCTGTTATCATTCTTTTTCCTTTTTAATGAAATTTTCTTTTTATCCTTCAAAAAAAAAGCATCATAAATGATTGCGGGCTATGAGGAAATGTTGATGGTCAACAGTTGATACAAAGTCCATGCTTTTAGCTCTTTAACATTTTAACAATGACAGAAAAACAAATAAATAAATAAAGCTTTCACCTGAAAAGTTGCTGGAATGGTTCCATCCTCTGCTGCAAACATTGATTGGTACACGGCAGCAGTTGCCAAGGCTGTGTCTCTCTTCAAGATCTAACCCAACCCAAAATTACAAGGAAGTTAGTGCCTCTCAAAGCAAGTACAAAACCAAATATTTCTTCCTCTTTGAAAAATACTTTACCTTATTCCTTTGCATAAGAGCATTGGTTTCACCCATTGCCCGAAGATGTTCAATCAGCTCCAGAGCTATATCAACATGATATTTAATGACAAGAAGAGACTTGATCRAGCACTCGTTAGTAAGTAAATTGTGAATCAGATATGGCACATCAGTATTTAATTGTAACTTCCCACTCAAAAATATTGAATTACTTTTGTCCATGATGTTCTTATTTATTTATTCCTTTTTTTAATACTCAATCTCTCCATTGCCCACCTACTCAAGCAATCAGGCATGCACACAAAGCAAGAAGTTGACAGGGAATGAAGAAATTAAATCATAAAAAGTTATAAACTTGAACAGTTTATTATCATATGGAGTTCCTCACTGAGGAGTAGCATGGCTAGTAAGTATGTGCATTATGTRTAATGACAAATCTTTTACTTAAATCATATGAGACACCAACTTATTAAAAATTATGGAAAGACATGGGAATTTGTTATAAACTGTTTAATGCCAATGATTAGGTCATGTCCAGTCTACCCCTCTCAAGATCACACCAGATAGCAGGGGTCATCATTTTTTTTTTATAAATAGCAGGGGTCATCATTGAGTAATAACCCTTATATTTTTAATAGATTATATGTGTATTTACATGTAAAAGCAAACTGTTCTTTTGTTCTTAAAACCATTGTACATGATTTTTCTGTATTATGCTTTTCCATACACATTTTGCTAACTAATGCGTGAAAGTATGGTTGATAGTGGATCATGAAAGGTGCAAACACAGACTTAGAGAACAATATCATGGACTCGATTAACTGTAAGCATTAAATGGGGCATGGATGCGAAGGATGGAAAGGAAGTTGAGTTTAGGGGAAGAAGCCAAGTCATTAGGTCCTGAAGCATGTATGGTAAGATGTGAGCTGGGAAGGGTTTGTCCCGTTATTCTAAATGGAACAAGCTGGAATTTTACATTGTGTTGGTTTGTCCTGTAGACAGTATGCCATAGGATGACCACATTCCTATCCTCTATTACATCCCCAACATTTTTCTAGTTTGACTT